CTGGGATTCACTGAATTATTAACCTTCCTCCAATTCTCTTTAAAGATTCTCCAAACAGTTATACTGAATAAATACTCAATGAGAGTATTTTACCATAAAATCAAATATGAGATTTCACTTGGACCAAGCAAGGATCAGATAGGGACTCTGAAACATCTAAAAGATCTTGACAAGCAGGTCAACAATAGAGCAAGAAAAAAAGAAAATTATTTATGATGAACAAAGCTAGCATAAAGCTGAGATTCTACCCAAGATACAAATCTAATTAAATAATCTTGTGATTGTCATCTCCTCTCCTAATCTCATTATTCAAGAAGGGGAAGATATGGATCTCAGGGTGCCTAATCCATGCCACACGAGGGTTTTCCCTCTCACAGAGAGCTGTGAACTGAACTATCTGCTAATACACTCAGATCACAGCTGCTCCTCAATGTTCCAGCTGTGGCAAAAACCAAAATATCAACTAAAACCAAAGAAACCAACCCATTTTCACTTGACAAGCAGAACAGGTCAGGCTGTGTAGGACCAGACCTGAGGACCCACTGCAATCCTGTCACTGACACCCCCTGCAGCAGCAGAGAAGTTTCTCCACACGCTGTGTGAGGGCTGTGTCCAGAACCTGGATATGAGAGCAGCTCCCCTGAACCACAAACTCCTTTTAGGGGTTTCCAGGTACATCTGAAGGCCTTTTGCTCTATCACTACATGGTAGACACAGGTTGTGTCCAAAAGGCTCCGTTTCAGGACCTGTGCTTGACAACTTCCTCATGAAGGAATGGATGTGGGACTGGAAGGCAGACTTCAGTAAGTTTGGTGCTGACACGTAGTAGTTGGGAGGAGCTGTTGACTCCCTTAAAGGCAGAGATGTGCTGCAGAGAGATCTTGACAAAGGAAAGGGCAGGGCAATCCTCAATTTAACATCATGTCAAGTGCCAGATCCTGCCCCTGTGCCAGCCCTGGATGCAGGGACAGACTGGGGAATGACAGGCTGTGCACCAGGGAGTCAGTCCTTGGTTGGTGGCAAGTTGGATCTGAGTCACCCGTGTGCCCCAGCAGCCCAAAGTGTCACCAAGGAGGGCACCAGGCCTGGCATCACCAGCCTGACAAGGGATGGGATTCTCCTGCTCTGCACTGTGGTGGCCACACCTCCAGTGCTGGGGGCACCTTGGGCACCACAAGCTCCAGTGCTGGGGGCACCTTGGGCACCACAAGCTCAGAAGGACCCAAAGCTGTTGGAGAGTGCCCAAAGGAGGGACACGGAGCTGGGGAAGGGGCTGAGGAGAAAAGAAATTCAGCAGCAAATCCCAAAGCCAAACAGGACCCAGATGCACTGGAAAGCAGCAGACATGCAGAGAACCAGACCAAGGTGCCCAAGTTGGACTCTCCTAAGTCAGGAGCATCCCTTGGGATGTGCACAGCAACTGTTCCAGGCATCACAGCAGCTCTGGCTCATCTCAGAGCACTGCAGAAAGGGCCTGGGGGTCCTGGTCAGTGCAAGTTGGATCTGAGTCCCTGCTGGGTCCTGGCAGCCCCAAGGGCCACCCTGTGCTGGGGGCACCAGGCCCAGGGAGGGATTGTCCCACTCTGCTCTGCCCTGGGGCAGCCTCAGCTCCAGTGCTGGGGGCACTTTGGGCACCACGGGATCAGAAGGACCCAGAGCTGTTGGAGAGTGCCCAGAGGAGGGACACGGAGCTGGGGAAGGGCTGAGGAGCAGCTGAGGGCACTTGGCTGGTTCAGCTGCAGCCCAGGAGACTGAGGGGAGGCTCCTCGGGGGCTGCAGCTCCTCCCCAGGGCAGGCACAGGGGCAGGGGCTGAGCTCTGCTCTGGCACAGGGACAGGAGCCCAGCAAGGGCTGCAGCTGTGCCAGGGCTGGGCATGGAGCTCAGGGCAAGGTTCTGGGCACTGCCCAGGCTGCCCAGGGCAGGGATCACGGCCTAAAGGCTGGCAGAGCTCAACAAGTGCTTGCACAATGCTTGCAGCCTTTCAGAGGGTGAGATTGTTGGGGGATCCTGTGCAGGGCCAGCACTTTGGATCCTTTTGGGTCCCTTCCAACTCAGGACATGCCATGGTTTTAAGTGTTTTCCTGATCCTGTGCTCAGCTGCAAGGGTTTGCTCTTTGTTTTGATGAAGGAATGAGACTTGATGTCAAACTCCTCATTCATCTGGATTAAAAAAAAAAAAAAAGAGACCCATGGGCAAAGTGAGAACTGTGGCACACTTTGGTCCAGGACATCCCAATGGGATATCACACAATGTCTGCATGTCACATGCAAAAGCTTCACAGAAAGAAAAGCACCAAATCAGGGCTAATCAGGAACAATCACTGGCGGATCCTGTTTAGTTTCCACTATCAAAAGCCTGGGAAATCAGCTTCCAACGCTCTGCAAAAGTATTTATATTTTCTACTTGAGTGCAGAGGTTTGAGGACAAGTAAAGTTTCCTTTCAGAGCTTTTTGCACCTGCCTATCAAAATGCAACCAAACCACAAAAGTGTTTTTCAATATTAACCCCCCCGCCAACAGAAAGAACAGTTTTACTAAAAAGAGTACAAGCATGGAACAGAAAGGCAAATTACAGGTTTGTCTGATAATAATTAGTGTTTATTCATCCTTCAGCAAGCTCTTTATCACTTACTTGTTTTTAATTAAAGAGACCAATAAGAAAGGTAAGAAACAACGGAAGCTTTGTGCCTGTTGTTTGTTTGCTGAGGCACCCTAACACACATTTGATGCCCGTATCTCTTGCTACAATCACACTATATTACCATATAATTTCTCATGCTTTAAGTAACCACTGAAGATTGCCTTAGTTGTGGAAGGAAGGGAGGAGTAGAACTGCATAAACACACGAGGCTCATTTGCTTTAAAAAAAAACCCTGTTGTTTCCTCCTCAGCCTATTTTATCATAACAACATTTTTGGTAGAGCGTGGAATCTCACAAATACTGTATCTCCCTAGAAGGGGGGACGAGGCACACTTAAACCAATGTTAACCAACTGATTAAAGGCTGAGTGCACATGTCTAAATAAAAAATATTAATACAGCTGAATACTCCCCAAATTCCTCAGTATGTACAAAAGAGGGAATGAGGACACAGAAACCCCAAAATCCTCATGTAGGTGAGTCAGTACTCACCTTTCCTGCTACTATTTCACTGCATTTGCTAAGAGTAAATCATTTTTCTAACAAGAAATAGAAAGAAACCACATCTAAGAGATTACATGGGTATATCTAGTATTTATTGGAATCATCCAACTTTATATAGGCCCTGTTAACTCTAAAATATATTGTGTAGATATTTTTTTGAAAGATGGCCATTTGCATTCTTTCCTTGCAAACATCATTCACAATGTGAAATAAGATTCCCTTCAGCATTTCTATTTCTCCTTTTATTCATGTCTGTCCTAGTGATGGATATTTGTCAACACGATATATCATGTGGGGTTTTTTTAAAATTACTGAAAGCTCATTAGTAGGGTAGTAGAAAATAGTAGAAAATACAGAAAGCAAGCACAGAACAAACTGCTTCAAAGGCTTTTTCACAATCCTAGAGCATTTCCTGACAACTTTACATGCATACTCACCTATAAAATCCTCTCATTTGTTGCTTTCAGGGTTTTTGGGTGCACCATAATCTCTTAAGCAATAAAATCACAGCAACAGGAACAAACTAATACTGCTGCAATGGTCTGCTTGTAAGTCTATTGTGTGAAATGGAATCTTTCACATCTTGGATCAATTTATGGGATAGGCAATGACATTAAGGTAATAAGCAAGCACTTTTCACATTATCCAAGGAGTTTGTTTTAGAATAACTGGTTTGCACAACCAGCCAGATCAACAATACCTGTCACAACCTGGCTGCCTGCTCTGCCCCAAAATGCACCAGCAGAAAGGCAGAGAACCCACACACTACAGGAGACATTAAAGATGGATCTGCTCTTTTTGTTCTAATGCTTCCTAATACTGTCTGTGGATATATAAATACAAGATGATCAATGTGTTTAGTGAAAAATTCTGTGATTATCTATAAGCAGCATCTAGCTTCTGGTTTTTTTTTTTTTTTTTGAGTCAACTGAAAGTTCCCTCTTGATATCAACTGAACTCAACCATTGTTGTTAAAAGGAGACTTGAAACTACATGGCTTCAGTTCTTTAAACAGTTTCAGTGGTAGCTGAATGTCTTGAAAACAACTGCAGGGAGAACAGAAATTGAAGCTCCACTGAGAGAGATCTTATTTTCAATTAATGAGATTTTCTGTATCTCCCATAAATATCTGTATCTCCCATAGATATCTGTATCTCCCATTTCTGTATTTCCATAAACAATGGACTCGAAGCAGGAACAAAACCATATATATTCAGAAGGTGTTTTCTGTTTAATTCACACAGTAATGTGCAAATGCAAGAATGATGCTGCCTGGACAGGCAGATCAGGACAGGTCTGTGTACCCTGATCTTGTGGCAGAAGCCTCAGGAAGAACATCAAACCCAGATAAAGATGCAGCCATAGCCATACTGCCTTGCTACTCAGCTACAAAGGAGCTGGAGCCAGCATTTTGGTTTTTGGGACACCCTGCTGTCTCTGTTTCTCCTGAGAATTATCTAGAGGTTTTTTGAGACTATTCAAACTTTTTGCATTCACTATATTCTCTGGCAAACATAGAAATAAATCCTGAATTTATATTACTATATAAAAACAAACCTTTTTATTTTAAAGATGCCATTTACTATTCTTATATGTTTCCTACTTAGAAAATACAGGGGTTTTTCCCCTGTTTTTTTCCTGCACATGTGATTTTATAGATCTGTAATAGCACTCCCATCACCTGTTTTCCACTTTGAAGAGTTTCAGTCAGGTTTACTGATCATTTTGTCAATTTACCAATAACTTCACATCTTCCTCCATGGAAATATAAGACAGACAGTAGACTGTCAAGTTATTGTATCCAGCAATACACTGCAAATTGAAAGAAGCTTTTAAAAGAAGAAAACCTCCTTACCACTGGGTGGCTTGGGTCGTGGAGGGATATTTTTCTTGGGTGGTAATGCTGGTGTGTCTGATTTGCTTTTGAAAGGGTCATCTGTGAATCCTGCCCCTCCAAAAGAGGAGGCAAAGGGGTCTGAAGGTACTGACTACACGAGAAAAAAAGAAAAGAAAAGGGATGTAAGCACACTGGAGAACACCTGTGGTTTCATGAAGCTACAGGTTAAGTCAAGTAAAAGCATTAACTTCAAAACCTGTACAGAATTTTAAGTGGTGTAGGAGGCTAAGATTCCATAAATATTCAGAGACCTTATGCTTTTAATCATTTAAGTACTTCTAGAACTTTTAGCCCTAGCAAAAAAAGTTGATGAGGAAATAAAAGGAAGTAAAACTTGACTTTTTACTATTTGGCAATGAACAGTAATACCACAGCCTGATCTTCACTCTGATAAACAGAACCATGACAGAACCTGGAAAAACAGTGCAGAAGGGATAACTTTATTCCAAACTTTTATGATCTTACACATAGGTATTTGACTTTTTAATCAAAACTTTAGGGAATATCCAAAAGCATGTGTTTAAATCTTCCAGCTTTTCTAAAGGACTCTCCTACTGATTAAGAAGCACAAAAGGATGGTGCCATGCAGGGAAATTTATCATTGTGGAATGAAGAAAGAGTTTTGGGAAAAAAGTAAAAATTGCAGTTAAACCTTTGCTACAATTTCTACCTCAACCAGCCATGGCTACTGGTGAAGGCTGCTGCCATCTAGTGGAGAGCTTATAGAATATATATATATATATAGAGAATATATATAAATATATTCAACTCCCCAAAATAGTAAAAATTAGAAGAGGAAAAACAACCACCAAGAAATGTAATTAGTCAAAGTAAAACGAGAACCTATTTTATTTTTAACATTTACTCCACAGTGTCCAAGTGTTACTGCAGAACTAATGTAAGGAGTTGGGCACTGAGTTAACTAAATTCAAACTCCACCTCAGAAAAGCAGACCAAGGCCTTTCCAATTATCCATTTTTTTCATGTGTGTCCTGAAGCTTTTTCTTCATCTGCTATTTAAAATGAACAGAAATTGCACACTTAAAACATGGGAGAGACTGACTGAGTGGAGTAAGGTTAGGTTACATTTATTTAGTAGCAAAGTATTTTGTTAAAAGTTGGACTCCATCTTAGAGGCCTTATCCAACATTAATGATTTTAAGGTAAGCTTAGAAACAAGTCAGGATACTTACTATGAAGTAACCAAGAAGCAAATTCCAGGACTTAGATGAAGGCTGGACACTGAAATATATTAATATCTGCAACAACTACCTCTTCTTACAAGTTAAAACTAGAAGTTAATTAATTTTCCTGATCTGGTAATTGAAAATGTTTGTGAAAAATTTAATTATCCCTGCTTAATCTACTAGTCTTAGTAAGACTTTGCCATATCTGACATGGCTGGAAAATTCTTTGCTATATAGCTGGTGAGGCTGACTGGAAGAAAATTAACAAAATCAGACTGTCAGCTAAAAGGTTAGAATAATATCACAGTCCTTTAGAAAGTGTCTGTACATAGATTTTTAAAAGGACAGTTGCTTTCCTTTTAACCTTTACCTTTGACATCTGACTGAAGTCTGCAAATCCCTCACCACCACTGAAAGCACCACTTCCAAATGGATCCAGTGTTCCAAATGGATCTGGAACAGATAGGCAGAAAAAAAAAAAGTTATTTTTGAATAATACTTAAGAATTACAAGAAATGCTCAGTGGTGCCAATGCAGCACAAAACTAGGCAGGTCATGGAAACACACATTGCCATGAGATGTTCAAAGAGAATTCCACAAAACAAAAGGTTTTTTACCAGTTGTTTGGAAAATATGAGAAGAAAACAGTGACATAATGTCTCATAAAATATGAGAAGAAAACAATCCACAGTGCCACAAAGACAGCCCTCATGAACTGCCACAAGACCATGACATTTTTGCCAATGGTTCACAAGATTCTTTATTCTCAATTCTTATATTTGATTCTTCTCTCATAAAAAGATACCTCATTATAAAATGTTTATTTCTTACCTGGACCTTTTGAAGAGATACTGGAAGACGTAAAAGGATCAGTGCTTTCAAAAGGGTCAGGCTAAATAAGAACAGATATAGAAATAATTATTTTTCTGCTGGGTTGTGCACTTACCATTCCATGCCTATCAAAATCTCTTGCTTTAAGACAAATAGTTTCCAGTTTCAGGTCACTCTATTCAGTAGACAGAGCAGGATAAAATCAACTCATTATATGAAATGTACATTATTAGTGCATTTGGCTAATTGCATTTAAGTCTTTAAGCAACAGATAGAATATTCAGGTCATGCATTTATATTATTAATAATTCAAAGTCTGTATACTGCTTCTTTTTAAACAGATGATTTTTACAGCTGCTTTTCAGTTTGACAAGTCAATTTGCCTTGCAGTATAGGATTGTACTTAAATAAAAGCTGACTTCCCACAGAAGGGGAAAAGAGGAAAAATATCCAGCTAAAAGCACCCTCATGGTCAATTATCATGGAACCAGACAGAACACTGCTGATTGCCTAAACAATCCACACTTGCATTTTAAGAATACAATTAATGATATTTCATCAGTTAGGAAAAAAGTATTTTGTGTTATTTCACTCCTTTTAGCTTTCAGACAACAAGCCTGTCTATAGTAAAAAAATCTATTAAGTGTAGATTTAAAAATTACTGACCTTTGAGGGCAAAGTGGGGGTTTTTGTGAATGGATCTGAGGTAAATGGGTCACTCTTCACCTGTTTCTTGAAGAAATCCTCAGGGGCAGAACTACGAAATGGGTCACTTTCCTTGAATGGATCTCCCCCAAAGGGATCTAGAAGGAAAAGGGAAATTCAGTGTAGCACTGGTGTGTCTGTAAAGAATATTTTATATTTGACCTCACACTCACTGATACAATTTTTCTTACACAATGTTTTGATAAATCTGATAGAGTTCCAGAGACCTCTGCACAGAGGGTATTTACTAAGTTTGAACGTGTTATATGGAGCTTTCAGACTTAATAAAGAGTTACACACTTCTCATCAAACATACTGATTCTGAATGCACATCCTGTTGGGTTTCTATGCTCCCACATGCAAACCAAAAATCTGAAGCCAGGGAAACATTTTTTGCTTCCTCTGTGCTTGGAAATCTTTGTGTTTTGCTACAAATTGTTTATACCACACCTGTCCTGTCCTTAAAAAGTGCTGTTACCTGCTGGAGCAGGTGGCTGCTCTGCAAAAGGGTCATGCTGGAATGGGTCACCTGTGCAGAAGAGAAAAACAATTTGTTTTATCTAATATTTAACAAGATAAGTTTGTGAAAATATAATTTACTCAACAATTGACCTTCAAGGGCCTAGATAAGCACTTGTCACTTACTGCCTTTGAAGGGGTCTGCTCCCTTAAATGGATCAGATTTGAAAGGATCTTCTGACTGGAATGGGTCTGTATGCAATTCTTGTGTGTTATTGGTAAACATCAAGGCTTTATTCTTAAATGGATCATCCTAAAAATTAAGAGGAGAAACATCACAACAGCTTGTCATGATAAAAATCAAAATGCCCAGTTACCCATTAAGCAGAAATTGCATGCTGTCTTGGTTCCTGTTGAAGAGTCTTTAAAATTATTTCCTAAAGAAATTTCTGAATCTGTGACTTCTAAGTAGAAGTAATTACACAGCAGCAGGAATGTGTACCCCAAGGCTACACAGAACACCAAAAAATAACAGTATAAATAGCAATTAAATGTTAAACTGTTGCCCATATTAATATATTCAACTCTCAAATACTTAAATAACAAAAGCAAACCAACCCCAAACATCACATTATCAAAAAATTCTTCTCTGCCATTATAGCTCAGGTAAAACACTCATTTAAAAAGGATACAAAAATAATCTGTGGACTACAAATACAACAAATTACTATTGAGTAGTCAGATACTGGATTGCTTCTTGTTAACTCATCTTTGAGCTTAAAGCTCCAAATACTGAATTCCCATGACAAAACACTTCATGCAGGAAGAGTCACCCCAACATTTTGATGACCAGAGCTGTCTCAGCAGAGGCCAAATCTACATTTGGCAAATTGTAGAAAATACCCTGTATGAACAAGCAGCAAAGTGAAGTTATGAAACTTTTTCATTCATTTGAATGATATCCCTGGCTTGGGTCTTGTTGGAGGTCTCTGCTGAAACCCCAAGTGCAAACACCAGGGAATTCCTTATATTCCAATAGAAGGAATATCCAATATTTCTGGATATTCCTTATATTGGAAGCCATTCCAATGTAAGGAATATCCAGAAATAACTACCCACTCACACTGCCCCCAACACCAGAAAAGAGCCAGGATTTCTTTCATCCCTTTACCAAATGTAAATTAAAATATTCTAATTGATACTTCTCAGAACAGCGGGAGGGAGGTGGGGAGAGAAGGAAGAGGAAGGAAGAATTGAGAAACAGGAAAGTGGCACAATGGTTTAAAAAAAAATTGCTATGAACTTAGACTGGTGTTTTCTGCCAGTAACTCCTAAGTTTTGCAAGAAAACATCTGGAAGTTTTCACTGGAAATTAAATATATTTATGCAAGGCATGCAAGCACAGAAACTAAGCACTGAAGTGTTTTAAGACCTTTAGTACATTTCTCAATTTACTGTTTTTATCTACACTGTTCTTCTTTTGAGCAGTTTGCTGCCTTTATGCAGTATTTTACATTTGCTCTGTAAAAACAATGGCTAGTAAATATTTACTAACACATTATATATTCAATTTCATACTAAACCCACAGCAAATTCTGTGCTTACAACAGTAAACATGATTCCATAATGAGGAAGGGCCACGTAGATGTGTAAGCAAGTATGCAACTTCTATCTTGTCACATTTAAAACAGGCTTAAAAAACAAAATAAAATTCTTGTGTTTTAGAGGAATGTTTAACACCCAAATCAACATTAGATACCCAAAAGAAATTCACTTGAAAAATGTTTAAGAACTTGAAAGATTTTATGATTTGGGAAAAAAAATGCTGATTAAATAAAAACATAATAAATGAGAAAGATGATGATGAAATTATTTAAGCAAAAGAGAACCATCCTCTCAGAAAGGGAATATGAGATGTGTAATAAATATAGCTCAATATAAAGCAGAAATTTATAAAGCTTCCTTTGGAAATAAGAAGGAAATACATGATAAAGGAAAATTTACAGCAAAAGAAGGTTTCACCTTGATAAACTGGAGAAGAAAAATGAAACACTAAACTGGAAATAAAGCCCCACCTCTGTCCTGAGATTGAGCACGTGACAGGTTACAAATCCACAAGACCAGCTAAACAATACCTCAGATAAGGTGCAAATCAGAAGCTTAATTAGTGTAAAATATATTAAATAACAATTTTTTTTTACCACAGCTCCATAATTGCTTCTTTCTGTCTGCCCAAGGCCTTCACTCATGTCTGCTAAATTTGTCAGACTCCCACCATGAATCCCATTGAGAGCTTCATTGTATTCTTCAATGCTCTTATTCATCTCCTGATGGCTCTCTTGCAGCTGAGAGAGTTTACTTCTTGCCTGGGAGGGAAAAACGTTTCAGCATGAACACTGTCATTTTTAAGTTAAGAACATTGTCATTTTTACAGTCCCTTAAACACTGGTGCCTGACAGTTGCATTTTATCCCCAACAGAACTGAAACCTTCCTAACTCAAACCAGGAATTTACCTACTAAACACCAGCCAAAAAAGCTTATTTCATGAACCAGCACTTTTTCCTCCTCTGAAAAATAATTTTTCAACTCATTTCATGAAGAAAAAATTTATATAAAGCACAGTGAATACCTGGTTTATTTCTTCCTGGGTTGATTTTAAAGATTTGATTATTGTTTCAAGCTGCACTTTTCCAGCCTGGATACTCTGCTCCAGCTGAGTCTCTTCTTGCTGCAGGCGATTCAGTTCTGCTTTTGCTCTGTTAAGGTCATCTTCCTGTAATTTTAAATCTGATTCCTGAGACTGAATCTGCATTTTCAGTGATGAGATCTGAAACAACACAGTAGAAAAGTCAGAGTGAAATTTGGAATAAATGGGAGTTATTAAATGGTGAATTTGCAATAAGTAATAGAAAGTGGTAGAGCAACCTATCAGTGACTAAGGAAAATCTTTAGAACTTAATATGAAGAAATACATGGCACAAAATCCTTGATAAAAGCACATTCAATAAAACCTAGAAATACATTTTAAATCAGAGAAATATCCCACTACTTATAAAGGTAATCAAAAGCTGTTTCCTAGATGTTCACCTTAAATATTTGAATGGGACCAAATTCTGAACAAGTAGTTTAATGTTGATTTTAAGAGTTAAAATTACCAAGTTGTTTAAAACCTTCCTTATACACTTTTTTCTGTGACTTCTCCACACAGGAAGTTTCTACCTTAAGGTAACATTGGCAATTGCATCCACCTGAAAAAACTCAATCCTGATGACATTCAGAGTGATCAAAACCAGCACCACTGCCATGGATTGGCTCATGGGTTAGGATTACTGATTTTCAACTGCTTTATTAGGCTGAATAAATATTTAATATATTCTCAGAAAAACAATTCCTATGGAAAGGGACCCCTGGACATCATCAGGTTCAACCTTTCTTTTATGACCTTTATTAAGGTATTAAGGATGGCAAAATCCTGTCTTGGACCTCTGTATTTGTGTAAAAATTGCTATTTATGGTAAAAACAAAGTTTATTCATTAAATAAATAGAATTTCCCTCAACAAAAGACATTTTACTCTTGAGCTGGTCCAAAATTAACATCCACTTACCACCTGGGTTTCTTCCTGGCATTTCTGCCTCACATCATTCAGCATATCTTTCAGTTTGGCTTTCTGCTGGTCCATCTCATCCAGGCGGTCTTGGGCATCTTGTTTTTGAGCCTCCAGCTCTTGCAAGTTACTTGTTTCCCTATCTAAATCATTTTGCAGCTCCTGAAGGAAATTCCACAATTGGTAATTCATATTTAGCTGTTTTCTTAAGGAAGCATCAGCCACAGACAAAGAACTTCACAAAATTCAGGATATTTTCTGTATCATATAGGCTACACCCCTGCATTGGCCTGTTTGTTTCTGCAGGAACTTGTGTCAGACATCAGGAAATAAATCACTGTTTATAACAAGGAAAAGGGACTGTGGCACAGAGCACAGTGCATTGAGTTATCCTAATTATCAAAACTCTCCAAACATTGATTTCCTAAATTACATGTTAGTTAAACACTAATAAAAAAGCCATTAACTGTTCACATATACTATGCTTATATTAGCCAGCATCAGATGAAAACATTTCTGATGGAGAACAGTAAAATAAATATTTTTCTGCCAGTTAGAGGAAAATCCCAAGAAAGAAAGAATGACAGAAAAAACGCTAAATTGCTGCATATTACTTAGATTAACATGAAAACTACTGAAGAAAAACAGTTTTTACCTGAACTTCATTGGTTTTCTGCCTGATTGATTCTTCCTTTTCCCTAATGTCCTGCTCCAGAGAATATTTTTCTCTGTCAGACAAACAAGAATATGTATTTATGATTAGTTAAATAACACAACACACATGCAAAAATCAATTAAATATTATTCTGGAAACACCATGCAGACAAAAATGTAGGCCTGTATTCTTATGTATTCTTTAAAGGAGAAAAGGTGCATAGGCATCAATTATTGTTTGGAAAATGCCATTTGTGCCCATCATGAATCTTTTCTGAAGTCACCTGATAGACCTGTAGGGTACCACTAGGAAATTCATCACTAATTAAAGCAATAAATAATGACAAAATGACAAAGAGAAAATAAACTGACACATCAGTACTACAGACTTACTCAGTCCCCAACAATTACCTCTGTAGCTGTGCAATTTCTTGGCTGATATCATCCAGCTCCTTCACCCCTGTAAATTCTCCTGATCCAACAGAACTTGCACTATCCTGTTAAAAATGAAAATCTATTAAAATGTGAAGTAGCAACAGAAGCTCTTCCTTTAACAAAGGCAGGATACAAAATCCTCATGATTTGCATTTGCAAAATTCCATAAGAGACATCAAATTATTCTGTAACAAGCAAGGAACATGCCCAACAGTTCTACTCATGAGACAGGAGAATTTTTGATGTGCCTGTTGAACAGACAGGACAGTTGAACACACAGCAATGAAAGGACAGGCACAACACCAACGAGGAAATTGCAGAATTGGTAGAATTAAAATTCAAAACCTAAAACTTAGTTCTGCTGTAGTCAACAGTAAGGTTTACAGTGGACTTAATGAAATCAGATTGTAAGTCCATTCTTCTAGATGGCAATTTCTGCAATTACACCCCATTTCCTGTGGGTTGTTTCTACATTTATTCAAGCAGAGATCAGGGAAGACAGCGAGGGCATTCCCTGTCCTCTAGATAAGTTAAGGAAGGATGTCAGCATTAGGTACAAAACTGGTTGTTATTGTTATTACAAAAAGGATGAAAAGCTCACCACAACTGAGCAAAGACTGCAGCACTGAACTCACTGCTGGTCTGACAAACCAGGAGACCTAAAACTTTTATATAGCATCTCAAAAAGAAGAATGCAGAGTTTGCCTGCTTCACTCACTTTGAGACTGCTGTGATAACCACAGAAAGCTTGGCTTTATTAACATTAAAAAATAAACAAGAACCCAAGCAGCAAGCCAAGACCAGCATGATGTATTTACTGGCCACAGCTGCACAGAACTAATCCAGGAGGAATTTCAGCAGCACTGAGCTGCCTGTGCCAGGAATTCCCTGCCAGCTCAATGCATCTCCAGTTGCTGAAGGAAGGAAGGAACATCACCAGGCTGGCAGCCAGGGCTGGGCACTTCCCATTGCTGTGACATGATCACCACACCAAGAGCACATGGCACAGAACTCAAGAGCAAAGACAGGCAAAGGTACAGAAAGAAAAACTTTTCTCAAGTTCCAAAAAGCATCCATGAGAAATGTGCATTCCTTTGGACACTGCGATTACTCACACGCCGCATTTCTGTTAGTGCTGAGATCTCAGTTCCTACAGGGGTCAAGTAACCTGACAGAGTCTATAGGAAAAGGATATAGGAAAAAACCTTAGGAGGATCATAGCAATAGCAATAATTAAAATATATTTAGAGTTCCAAAGGTTTCTGGTTAGGGAAAGCAAATAAAAGTAAAGAAAAACACAGTAGAATTGATAGAAAAGGTGAATGTATGACATGACAGAAGCATTTCTTTAATTCAGTTTCAGAAGAGCTGGCATGTTATCAAGGAAAGGAACAAAGCAGGGTCAGCAAAGGATCAGAAGCTCCAGTAAAATGTATCAGCAGTGATGGATTCAGGATTGTGGACTGCTACAAAGAATGAATCCCAGAAACTAAGAAGCCATCACTCCTCATTTAGCCATTAAAAAATTTTATATTTCCATAGGAGTAATATGGTGCTGATCAAAGGGACATGCTGCTCAACCAGCTTTTAATATTTGCTGTTACAAGTTCCCTGACTCAATCTTCTGTATGACAAAGGATTATTCTTTATGCTACATTTTTTCCAGCATTATTACTCTCTGGTTTATGAAATATTTTACTGCATTTTTCTTTACTTACTGTTTTGGTTGTTTAAAAATTAGCTATATTTTCAAATGTTCAATGAATTTTATAAGAGGAGATAAAAAAAAATATTGGCTATTTCTTTAACATGATACTAAAAAAAAAAAAAAAACTCCACAAAATTCATACTCAAAGTTCATTACTTTTAAAGCACATAAATTCAGTGTATCAAAAAACTGCTGCCTTACCTGGATGGGTGTGTTTCTGTCTGAGGGAGGGATCATATCTGGAGTTAACACTTGTGGAGGATCAATCCCTTTGCTGACCTTCTGCTGAATGAGATACATGGCCAGTGCAAACTGGTCTTTGCTGAGCTTTCCCATCTGTCTCGTGTCTGCCAAAGACCTGATTAAAAATAAATCATA